TTTCCGGCCTCCAGATTTTTCGCCTCAGCATATCCCACGGGCTGTTCTATGCGGGGAACAGTACCCAGGCTCCTAACACGTGGCACGAGCTGGAAAGCAGACACACATACTTCCACAACCAGCCAGGAGGGACAAGCCGACTTTTCTCGGCTAGTGAACCCGAAGCATACGACACAGGGGGTCGCATGGGATCGACTGGATGTCGCGTGGAATCGAACCCACGACCTCCTGTGTACCACTTATGTGCTGAACGCGAGCATTTCACAGAACATTCAACAGCTGCCAAAGGCGAAGATGCGTGTCCCGTCAAGGCCAGCCATTTCCTCTCCCAACGACACGTCACCTTTATCGACAACTGAGACCAGTCACAGCCCCCGGGAAGAAACACCGAATCTCGGACCAGGGGGCGAGAGCCCGTGATCAAGTTTCATATCTGGTATGTTTGCGGCAAATTATGAACCCTGCCCTGCAGTCGACCACACATGGTCGCCCGTCCTTTCTAGATGCACAAGGATTTATTGCCGGCTCACCGACCAAGGCCAGCCATAGCTGGGAGCGTGGTAGTGCCCCCACTCACCCAGTCGCGTCCTCGCTACTCCCCCAGCAAGTTCTGGCATACAGACAGCACCCGCATAGCCCTGCATGCGTCAGCGATCTCCCGCTGCTCGCCGCCATGCATTGGCCCGTGTACCGGTAGGCTGGTTTTTGTTTCTTTTGCTGGGACAAGGGAGGGGCTCAGCCTGAGGATTGGAGGCTGGGCCTTACAATCCCTGGTTCTTTCTTCTGTGTACATTGTATTTTGCCTTGTGCACTGGGCCCTTACACTAGAAAAACAAGGAGCATTAAAAAAAAAAGGAAGAGAGGCAGGAGTGGGGAACAGAGGGGTACCCCCCCCCCCCCCCCCCCCCCCCCTCCCCAACCATCACCACCAAGAAAAACTAGAAAATCAAAACAAAACCAAAAAAAAAATAAAAATCAAAACAAAACCAAAAGAAGTATCAAGAAACAGGAGAAGAGAAACAAAAACAAAATAAAGACACACAAAGGAAGAACAAAAACAAAAAGAAAGAGAGAGAGATATACCGGGTAGACACGATGAGATTCAGAAAAATAATGAAGAGCTTTTGCCTCGTCATCGTGCTTCGCATGGATGGCACCAAGGCGCGCTAAAACGCCAGGATCATGTGAAACGTGCGTGTTGAGGATCTCGAACCATTTGACTGCCTGTTTGAAGTTCCCCATCAGGTCATAAATAGATCCAACCTGAGCAGGAAAGAAAGAAGGAAAAAGGTGAAGGGGTGTTAGTCCTTCGGGCCATCACAGTCTTTTCTTTTTCTTTTTTTTTTTTTTCTTTTTTTTTTTTTAAGCTGCCTTCTCCTCATCGGGGGGCAGCCAGCCATAGTCATTAAAATCGGAATGGTACTTGAAGAGAAGAACCAAAAAAAGGGGAAAAAAATGGAATGATACAGAGAAGATTGATTAGCAGGGCCCCTGTGCGTGCAAGCATGACACTCGTAAAGGGGTACAATGTTCAGATAGGGACGTTGGACCCGCTTTCCAGCTGGTGCAGGTCCCCACCAATAGATGGAGTCTCCCCGGGAGTGCTAGAGGTGCCTGCTCTTACCGGCATCCCTACCGTCTTCCTCCCCCCGAACATAACGCACCTTGATATGAGTGTACACAAGTTATATTTCCGGTCAGAGCCAAAATGACGACGCTTTTTGGCCGGGACAGGCCTGGCCCGAGCTTCGTGTTTCTTCCTTTTTTCTGTCATGAACTTCAGATGAAGGTTTTTGAACTTGTGTGTGCGCGCCTTGCTACTACTAGGATTGGCGGTCCGTGGCTCGGGGGGCAGGCCCTCTGCCTGTTGTATGTAGTAATTTCGTGTTTCTCGTCATTGTTTTTCCCACGAAGTGCTGCTGGAGGTCTACAAAAGTGTGGAGGGCAAGGAAAAACGAGTTCTGTCTCGTCATTTTTTTTCCACACGAAGTGCTGCTGGAGGTTGTGCCCTGCTTGGTGCTTACCTACAGCACCATCTTCATGCTGTGAGGGCTGGTAGCCATAGCTGGTGCTACCTAGCTCATGTTTAGACAGCCCTGGGCGTCAGGCCCTGTGCTCCGTGAGGCGCCTCCTCTTACCTGTGCTGTTGGGGCAGCACTGGACCCTTCTTCGAAGTGTGAAGCGGCAGCCATCTTCTTCTTCATCAAGCGTTGGTGTTCTTCTTCTTCGTCCTGTGATCTACCCTGCCCTGTTGAGTGGACACTTCATCCGCGGTGGGCATCGAGATTGGGCTGCTGAGTGGTGTGTCGGGTTCAGGAGGGTTGGTGGCGATTGGTGGGCTTGATAGGTTGGGCGCAGGCCTGCGCCATAGCTGCTGCGCCATAGCTGTGAGCTCGAGGTTGGGAGGAAGAAGAAGTCTCCCTTACTTGATGAAACTCTGTAAATAGTTAGTTCGTGGATGTTGATAACGTGGTGGGATCTTGGGAATTTTGGTGCTGCTGATTGAACTTGAGGGAGACGGTTTAATTAAAATTGATTAATTTCAATTCTATTTTTGGTTTTGTGAGCTTCCGCTGTATATTCTTCTCATGTGGTGTGGTGTGGGTTTCTCTCTCCAAGTCTGCTTGTCATTGCACATGTGTATGGGAGAGACCGCTTATGGGAACGTGTGAATGCCATGCTGGGTTCGTTTTTAATCAGGCACATAACAGCAAGCATGAAATGGGAAGTTTGAACGAAAGGCAGCGAAAAACATGCTACCTCAGCCACAGAGGGCTGAGGGCAGGACAACATTTCCATTTGGAGCGAGGTGAGTAGGCCGGGAACTGTGAGTGCCAGGAGCAAGCAGGAGACCTCAGAGGTACACAAGCCTTTGCTGCTGTAGCCCATTGCCCGGCGTCTGTCAGTCCATTTAGAGTTGCAGTCTCCAGCTGTGTCAGCAGATCAGCGGGCTTACGATTGTGTATGATCAGCTATCTACCATAGACATGCATCAACCACACTACCAAGTATTACAGCAAATTCAGCATGATGCTGGAGGGATGGCCAGCTCGGCTGCTGGCCACCCTCCGACTACTCTATCTATCCTTCCTGGCCTGTTCTACCATCTTTTTTGTTGGGATGTTCTAACTTCTCAGCAACTGTTTGAAGGTTGGGCAGCACAGCGTAAGGTATCGCGGAGAAGCGAGCGGACTAAGTACCAGTGGAGTTGACATATTGATTGGCGCGAAGTGTGCAAGAATTGCCGTGTCCGTGGGTGTTGAGTGTCAAGTGGTGTCCGTCGAGTTGGACACTACAGCCTTGCAGGGGTGGGGTGGGGTGGGGTGGGGTGGATATCGTGTCCGATATGGTTCCACTTGTGAACACCGTGTCCTGGCTGTAGTGGTTAAAAGACTTAGCTCTTGTGGGCAAGGGTGCCCGTTCAAATCCGTGGAGGAGGGGCTTAGGCCCAGATGTACGGATCCATAACTACTGTTTCATACTACAATGCAAATTTTCGGGACTCAGGTGTTAGTCGTTGTATCTGATTCGAACTCAGGCAATCGATAGGTCTACGTGGCTCTCACCCGTTACGCAGTTCATTATCATGTGTCCTACCCCTGGACAAATGCACTGAGGTATTGCATGCACAAGCTACTTTAGGTAAGTGCTCGTTCCTATCCGTCCAACCTGATCTAATATACATACAGAGCGTCTGTTGTAGCAGTTTGTTTATCGGCTCAGTCTGGCCTTTCCTTCCTGGGTGTCTACCTCACGACATGGTCCACTGCAACCTGTAGACCTTTTGTGACTGCTGCCATATCTCTATTGTGAACCTAACGTCGCTATTACTACCGTCTTCACCCGAAAAGAACTCCCGGTCATTATCGCTGCATCTGGACTGAATTCTGCGCCAAATACAGCTATAATGACCGGGCGTTCTATTCGGGTGAAGACGTAGCTATGGTCAGACTCTGAGGATGCCCATTATCCTTGACCCAATTCAAGAAGAATTCACGAACAGCAAGGTCTCACTTTGCTTCTGCGAGCAAGGAAGAGTACTGTGAAGGAATAGAGGTTTCTGTGTCCCAGAGTCATCTGTCGCTGACAAAGGTGTTATACACCGCAGTGGGGCCTCAATCTGTTTTTTTTTTTTTTTTTTTTTTTGGGAGGGCCAAGCTGGACAAGTTGATCTCCACGTAGACTGTCAAAACCTAGAGGACAGGCTCCAGCCTCAGCACAACAGCGAGCAGTGAGGGGCAGGTCCATCCATCATTGACGAGGGAGTCTGCCTATCGTCTTCCCTAAATAGAACATAATATGGTCACTGTGGCTGTATTTGGGCCAACTTTCAGTCCAGAGACAGCGATATAACCATGCATTCTATTCGGTGGAAAGACGGCAGCGCTGACAGGCTTGATGCGGGAAGCTCTAGCCCAAGCAGCCAGTCTCAACAACCCAACCAGTAGCCTGATTGTCTCTTTTTTTGGGTAGCGTGTGTTGTATGTATAATATATCGTCATATATATATATATTCTGCAGACTGTTGAGGGTTCAGCCTCCTGATGAGTCGGTGAAACTCCGACGAAACAGTTTGTCACAGCCCCATATATATATATATATATTTATATATCCACTTGTAGATGTGATGCCTGTTATACCTGTTTTCTTTCTTTTACTTGCATTCGTTTGGCAAGCATCAGTTAGTTTTCGATAATATTTTGATTAAAAAAAAAAGAATGCCTTAATTCTTGATTATGTCAAAATACAAATAAAGCTCTATTTTTTCAAGACATACATATAAAAAGATTTCCAAGCACACGGCTCTCCATCAGTTTGGCAAGACTACTGACTGTTTCCCTTCCATTTTCATGTACTATGGAAACTCTGACGCCATATATATAAAAGGGGCTTACTTTCCTGATTGCTTTTTTTTGGGAAGCCTAAGTTGTATATACTATATATATAAATAAAGGGCCTTACTCATAGGACGAATCGTTCATCAGGTCAGCTATAGGGAGAGGGTGGTCCCCCCTATAGCCAGACAGGCCAGCTGAGTTGACCAAGAGCAGCGAAGGGGGAAGAGGTTACTGTGAACCCACCGAGCAAGAGCACAAGCTACCTTCTTCCCCTGAATACAACGTATGGTCATTATAACTGTATTTGAGGCATCTTTCTGTCTAGAGACAGCCATAATGACTGTACGACGTTGTACGTTGTATTCGGGGGAAGAAGGTAGTTTAGGCTTTTTTTTTTGTTTTAGGGAAGAACACCCAAGGAGGGCTGACCATTGGAGACGATAAGAACACTCTCAGAGAGGGAGGACTCCTCCTATAGTGATGTATCTAGTTCTATTGGTGGGGAGCTGCGCCTGCCGGAGACGATGTCTAGCGTCCCATTTGACAGTATCAGGGCTCTATGTTAGACAGAGAACAGCATTTGATTGCCCTCCAGTATGTTCCGTCACACCACTAGCGGAGGAGTCCAGTTGTGCAGCAAACAGGCATGGCCATTGGTTGAGCGCCATCCGTTGCATCAAGCCCTCACCGGGGAGCAGACAGTTCGGCCAATCAGCCGATCCGTATGTTCCATCAGACTGCGAGCGGAGGACGCTCGGTGATGCAGCAAACAGGCGTGGCCATGTGGCCTACTTGGTGCAAATAGGGGCCCAACAGTTGCCCCTCATGCTAAACTGCTGAGTCGTCTAGTGCAACCTGATCTCCTGGAAACCTTCCCTGTAGCTGGAGTCCTTTTTTTTTTTTTGGAACAACAACCCGAGTGAGTGCTAGGGTTGGAGTCCTAGACGCTGCATTACCAGCAGATGTTGTGCCCCAGGTACAGTCCCACTTCGATATTCCCCTGAACAACTGCAAGCATTGCCAAACTATCGAGGAGGTCATCACTACCGTCTTCACCCGAATAAAACGCCCGATCATTATCACCGCATCTGGTCTGGAAGTTGCCCCAAATTCAGGTATAATGACCGGGCGTTCTATTCGGGTGAAGACGGTAGGCCTACTACGGTAGGCCGTGGGTCCAGACTAAGAAGCACCATAGTGGAATTGAGGAGTGTTCTTAAGTGGGTCATCAGTGTTACATGCCCAGTTGGGCGATGTACATAAATAGCCAAGGATCTGCAATGTGATGAAAAGGACTGAATGGACAATGCACTGCTAGTAGAATCTCAACAAGACCTGACCGGGACTGACCTCCCTCACGTAGTACAAGACAGCGTAGCGAAATGCTAGAATACAAATGACTAGCCCCATAAATGTCGCAATGCGGACCAAACATACATCATCCTCATGACAAGGTGTGAAGGGGCCTGGCGCTACACACAGGAAGACTGCGCCAGGTCCAGACATACACAGATGAAGAGGAGGAGATCAGATGAGAAGAGGGGGAAGACGGGAGTGTCGTTAACACCAAGTCTTCGGTACAAGTCCCAGATAATCCCTCGTCAAATGTCTGAAGCCCAATGTCGAGTCTGGACTAAATGTCACCAATCT